GGATTAGGTGCGTTCCTCTAAATCTTCCCTACCAAAGTGAATGATTTGCGAAAACAAGGTCAAACAACTTTTTTCAAAATTGTTGACCTAAACTGAGTTTTTCGTAATGAGACTATTATGGTTTCGTATTGGAGTATAGTTTCGAGTAGTATAGTCTATTCGCAAACTCAAACTACAAGCCAATATACAGATTTCATGAGATAAATGAGATAAGACCCAGATTATGGATTCCAATAAAATAGGAATGGTTTTAAAATAAAGCCCTAAGAGCGAAAGGAGATGATAAGGCTGTTTAGATTTCACAAATAAATTGTCGATTTATCCATGTCTCAATGTCTGGAAATTAGGACTTCTCAACCCATATTAGATGTATATCTTACGTTTTCCACTTGATTGGAAACAATTACCAAACCGGTTTTTACAGTAATCGAAATGACTAACGAAGGTAACGTATTCTTATGAAAATACAAAGTTTGCCATGTCGCTAAATTATAGGGCTACATCAATTAATAGAAAGTGTTAAGGAGATTAATTCTGTACTGAGACAAAGTATCAGGGCTTATTCAGAGCAATGCAATGCAGAAATTCAGACAGGTTGATACAACTTGCCTGAACCTGACGAAGTATGTGCAGACACCGGAAATAGGCCCTGGCAGGATGTCGGCTATCTGGAGAGGCTGGGTCATCAGATTTGCCATCAGATCCAACTGCGTCCGTTTGCTGGTGGTCCGCAGTAGATACTGCCATACCGTGTGATTCTTGTGGGCCCTCGGGTGACATTCCTTTGGAGGCCAGGCAATGTGCGATAGCATGAACTACCCGAGGGAGATTGGCATTGTCGGGTCCTAAGAGTGCTGGGCAATTGGCCTGAACTAAATCGCAAAGGTAATCAAATACGCCATAGGTTTCACTCGTATCTTCCCAAACCGGAAGCCAAGTTAGCCAATTGGGGATCAACTGGTCCAATCCACCCAAGCTGGAGGGTAGGCAGTGGGGCCGATATTTCATGATCTAACAAGTAGAGATCACAACATAATTGAAGGAAAGGTGACGACGGCAATATTAGCATGAACTATTAAGTCGACATATAACAAAAAAATAAGATTAGATCAGCTAGTCTCAGGAACAATTAAATAAAAATCATAATTTTAGTATGAAAAGTGCATTATATAGGATAGTAATAACAAATTATCATGATTACTACAAAATACCAAGTAAAATTCACCTTAGTGACTGCACATATAGCATTCTCAGTTGAAAAGTTATTCTGACTATCGCGAGAATTCAGAGCCCCAATGCATTTTATGAGAGTTAAAGTGAATTCAGGAAGTACAGTGTCCCATTCAGGGCAACCGTGTTGGGCAGCCATGCCAACACCATAGAAGGCGGCTTGTCTCACAGGAGGCTCGGGATGCGTTAAAGCCTGTGCAAGTCTAGGCAAGTAAAAATCGCGTAAATGCCAAGCCTGTGGACCCGCGAATTCGATCACATCGTCCCAAAAGCATAGACCCCATTGCAGATCAGACCAAGGTCGATCGGACTCCTTAAATAGTGAAATAGAAAGCAGTAAAGATAACAGATAAACAGATGCAAATGCGTTAGGCAGTGGGCGAGATACAAAACGATATGAAGAAGAAATTGCACGAGTGACATACAAAGGGAGAACACTTTCTTTTACTAATAGTTGAGCTTACTTCCATTTCGAGTGAAAGTGCTTGGTGAAGAGATTCGAAGGTCGACTACACCAGAAGACGACGGCGGATTCCTCTTGATCAACTGTTGATTCGCTTCACTGGAACATTTCTGTTGGCGCTGTTTTCGAGGCAATCTCCTTCGATTCCGGTGAAAATGTGCTAAGCTTTCAGAGCAGGGTATCACCCTTACAACCATATTCAGGCTGCTTATATACAATCCCGTAGGAGCCATAAAATACGCAACAAAATCATAAAATAGGAGCTGTAACCAGTACATTTCGTTAAGACGATGAAGGATTTGTAAGTGAAGCCTCCCAAGATAAAATGATTAGGGCTCATGTTTTTATTGCATTCACCACCACCAGCACCAGAAAGGGATATGGAAAGGACTTGGCTTTCCTCGAAATTGCTGCCTGCCCTATCACTCAAATTTAAACGTAGCAGTGTTGCGAAGTGGTTGAAATATCGACAATATACCGCAATAACGCAACCCAAGTTCGAGTCCCGCTGAGAACGCGAGGTAAAAATTGCAGGCATGTCGAGCCAGGATGAAAATATCTTTTAGGAAGCGAGGCGTTGTGAAATTTAATGGAAGCATGAGGCCTGTTTATATGATCGTGGTAATTTTTAACTAACAAACCTTAACTATTTCTGTAGATACGAAGAGAAATTGGGTTTCGATGAATCTCCTGAGATAATATTCTTAGGGGGACCTTCATTTCGTATGAAAGTGCATGAAGATGAGGACGGATGAAACTCGCTGTACAGCATCCGGATGGATTTTATACGATATTCACGTTGACGGAGTCCACGAGACTTCCTCCCTCGTTTCGAGTGAAAACGTGCTGAGCTATATAAGATAGAGCCGGATAGTGTTCTTGCTTTAGTGTTAACGTGAGACTTTGCAAGAATCGCACTCAGCTCTAAGGATGTCCACCATATGATGGACCAAAGCTCAGCACGTTTTCACCCGAAACGAGGAAGGAAGTCTCGTGGACTGCGTCAAAATAAATATCGTATAAAAGCCAAACAGCTGCAGTACGAGTTTCATCCGTCCTCATCTGGTGAGATCGACCAACGAATCTCTTCTTCATGCACTTTCACCTCCTAACAACGTTATGTCAGGAGATTCATCGAAACCAAATTTCTCTCCGTATCTACAATGTACGTACGGTTCGGTTTCTTGTCATTTGTCTTCTCGCTACACTACAACCAGGAAAAATATATCCTGGCAAGTTAATAGAATTAGATTTTTAAATATTTGTATTTCTCATAATGTTGTTCCTATGTGTTGTTTACTTGGTAGATGTTATAATCTATTGACATCCACAAATAGAGATCTAGATCAAATATCGTGTGGTTTAGTCAAAACTAGGCTCAATGAAAGCATTCCCAAACTGCATGAACTAATTAGAACCAAAAGTAAGCTTAGAAAATCTCTCTCAGGACTATTGAATGATGTGAATTTCCTTAAGTTACAAGACATGGCTGACGGGTTAAGAGA